TATATATATATATATATATATATATATATATATATATATTCTCTTATTTTGTATCAGATATGCTCTTGACTGACACTGTTGTCTCCCTGGTAAGCAAGATTTATAAAAAAATTGTTTATTGTGGTGAAAATAGCTGAGGCAACTGTAATTTTTACATTTATATAAATCACACAAAAAAATATTGAAATTGTTTGTTGATTATTTCTTTGTTGAAATCATCATTGATTTAACATTTTAATCATTCATGTTTATAGTAATTTTTTATAGTTTCTGAAAGTCTGGGTCAAGGGTAAAACTATAATATCAAAAGGTATTTGAAAGGTAGAAAAATGTAATTAAAAGTTATTGAAAAGTTTTAATGTGAAAAAAGCTGAAAACTGTTCACTTTAATAAAAACAACCCCTGGGGCATAAGTGGCAAAATATGACAAAAGCAGTGGGCTTAAAAGAAATCTGGCCAAATAAATCAACAATTTCAGACTGCTTGCAGAGAATGTTGTAGAGAAATAAAATTAAATGCAATCTGCCTCCAAACTTGGAAAAATGAACCATCTGTACTTGTATTCACTTTCAGAACTCCGATGACCTGCTGGTGGCATCAGCCGAATGTCCCAGTGATGATGAGGATCTGGAGGAGTGTGAGCCGGGCACTGGTGAGTACAAACACACACAGCAGCACTGAGGCCATACAGACCCCACACAAGCTCCAGGCGCTCACAAGCAGCACAAACATCAGATCAAACTACTTTCTTTAAAAAAAATTCACTTTTTTTTTTTTAAATAAGCAGAGGTTTTTAATGGCTTATGGATATATTCCGGTTGGATATACTGCAGTTCTGTAGATAATTCCTCATTTTAAATCTCACTAGAACTTCAATTCGAATCGTTTTTAATTTGTTTGTTAATTTTTAAGATGTTATTTTATATAATTGTAATGTCTTATGTGTTCAGTAAAAACATGTTTTATATGTAAAATGAAATTCTGGCAAATATTCTGGAAATAACTTTCAGCAGTTGGGTCTAAAATATAAGTTTCAGACTTACACAAGTGCAATTTGAATTTGTGTTCCTAATGTAAATTCTGTTTCCCATAATGTTTTTCTACTAGCACTCTTCCCCCATATTAACCCTATAGATGCTACGAACAAAGACGTATGCTTTAGAGCTCAGCAGATCATTTAGGAACTACATTATGAGCTGATCTGGCTGAGCTTAGACTAAGGGTTATATTGCTTGAAGGGTGGCCTTATACCATCTGGGCTATTCATAACGTTTAGTGACCATTCCACTCCATCGTTGGGTTCCGCTGTAAGTATTCATATATCAGTAAAGTAGGTGTGACTTCAAGCCGTGTTGCATAGTACATGGAATTATTACGCTGTGCTCAGCTATTGCTCTTGTGATTGTGCATTATGTTGCAATCATTCAGTGTCGTAGAGTGGTTGAGGTTTTTCTGATGGCCCATCTGGAAAATCAGCTGTTGCTGTTTGACATTTGTCCAAGCCTTTAGTTTCATTTCAGATTATTTTAGTTGAATGAAATGTTGGAAATTAAACATATTAACAGACATTTCTTATTAAATAATTGCTACAACAGCCCTATTTATTGGCTCTGTCTCAAAATCTAGTCAGCTGCCTGCCTAGCTTTTTTGTGCATCATTTGCACACTCCTGACACTCAAAAACTTTCAAATAATTTGAAGCGGTATAACTTGTTTGTTTCATAGAGAAGGCAATCCCATAATGTGATGTGACAAGCTTCAAAGAGAAATATTTTTAAATTAAAGTATAAAAAATGTTATTAATGTGTCATAATGAAGCAGCCTTACACTAACTATCAGAATTTTGGGGTTGGCAAGATCTTTTAATGTTTTTGAAAGAAGTTTCTTATGCTCATAAGGCTGCATTTATTTGATACAGTATACAGAAAAATACAGTAAGTATAGTGTATATAGTTAGTAATATTGTGATTCATTTTATTACCATTTAAAATAAATAAATAACTAAATAAATCAAATGTAGTTAATTCCTGCGATGGCAAACCTGAATGTTTAGCAGTCATTCATGCATTCTTCAGTGTCACATGATCCTTCAGAAGTCATTCTGATATGCTAATTTGGTGCTTAAGAAACATATTTTATCAATATTGAAAACAGTTGTGCTGCTTCATATTTTTGTGGAAACCATGATACATGTTTTTAGGATTCTTTGATGTATAGAAAGTTCAAAAGAACATTTATTTGAAATATACATTTTTTCTAAAATTATATATGGCTTTACTGTATGTGCTGAAAAAAGTATAAAAAAATTACTGACCCCAAACATTTGAAAAGTAGCGTATATCATTAAAATGTTTGGCTGTCTGTGTGCATTATACTCAACTTAGCTCAAATTAGCTTAATCACATGCCAACATCAGAATCAGAATTTGAGTGCCATGTTAGTGGCTTTTTTATTACGTTTCTGCCTTTAAATTGCATCTCAGATCAGTCAGATCCACTCACAAGCTTCCATTTTGTTTGTAATAAGATTTATATAGATAATTCCATATATAGGCATTAGACAGAAATTAGCTAACTAGATTTTGAGACGGCATTTAACTTATCACACAGTGCACATATGCAGAGGATTTTATCATTGCAAAGTGAAATCTGTATTTATACAAGTCAAATGAAAGGCTAGAAAACAGATGAGTGTGTCAGAGTATGAAGGGGAGAAAATTTGTGATTTTAAAGGGACCATCTTACACACCTTTGTTTTTTGTAATTTGCTTTTTTTCCATGCAAAAATCATGCGGCCTATTTGTTAATGTAAGTGACCCAAACTCAATGGTTTGCTATCTTGTTTAACCAAAGAAGAGCCAAGAGCTATTCAAGATATGAGTTGGTTCTGTTTTACATGTTATTGTAGTGATCTAGATATATATATGTTAGTCATTTGAATAGGTTTAGAAAATATTGTAGCATTTTACATGTGAATATAAAGTATTGTGTGTAGAATCTTTGTCTTAGAATAAATTCCACAGAATAGAATTCTAAATCTAAAACTAATAGAGTGCGCGTGTATATGCATGTAGATATTCTCGAGTCCTTACTAATTGTTCTTCCTCTCACCCTTTCTCCTCTCCCATCCCAGGAGGTGAACTTGTGTTGCCTATAATTACTGTGGACACCCAAGACCCCTTTCCCATAGCCACCCGTTACCCCGCCATCCCTGCCCCCCCCACATCCCTGACCCCTCTCCAAACCACCAAAGAGTCCCTCGTTCTGTCCGACCTCCGCCCGCCATGCCCTCCGGACCAGGAGGACTGCGGCGACCCCATGGAGGTATCGGCCTTTGGCTCCGGAGAAATGACGGAGTCCGATGACGAGGACTTTTACAAAAACTCCCCCATGGTCACAGACAGGACGGTCCTACCGCCGCCCCCTGCCGTGGGCAAGAGCGGAGGTCAGAGCCCAAGTGACCACCGTCCTCCAGTCCCCGGCCCCACCTCACACCCCAACCAGCTCCACATCCCCGCAGGCAAAATGAATACCCGCGACCAGGTGCTCCTACCGCCCGCCCCGTCCTCCCGTCACACTCCAGGGTTAACCTACCCACCTGGTTTCCCCCATGTGCCCACAGCTCACCCCACCGACCTGATGGATAAAGGCCACCCGGGTGCCGTGGAGGTAATCAGGGAGTCCAGCAGCACCACAGGCATGGTGGTCGGCATCGTGGCGGCTGCTGCCCTCTGCATCCTCATCCTCCTTTACGCCATGTACAAGTACCGCAACCGGGACGAAGGTTCTTATCAGGTGGACCAGAACCGCAATTCAGGATCCGAAAGCAACGGCGCCGTAGTCAAAGAGAAGACGCAGAGCACGACCGCCACCGTCGCAAAGACGACCGCCAAGAGCAAGAAAAATAAAGACAAGGAGTATTACGTCTGAGAGAGACAGAGGAGGAGGTTCACAGACAGGAAGTGTGCTGAGGATTTTAAAACTTCAAATCACCTCCTCTGCATCCTCAAACATTTAAGCCACACAATCTTCTGTTTACTTCTCCAAACGTTTTTCTGCCAACTGAAAGATACGGACGTAGGGAATGAGGAGGAAGGAATACTGACCGATAGATCCTCCTTTCGTTTCTGTCTTGCGAAGCCATTGTTGTATGTAATTTTATCTCTATCATGTCTAAAGAAAATCTTCCATTACATTCCAAATGATGTAATGCCCTCTTTGCGATTAAAAATTTATGTTTTGCGGGCCTCCATGGGAGAGTAACCAACACCATGGACAGGGAGAGAAAACCCGCCGGTTTAACAGATGTATCCACACACGAGCTTTTGGTGCTATTCCTGACCGTTTGTTTAATATTATCTTCACAGAGCTATGAAATTGAGATCTTCTACGAGGCTGTCGTTGGCCCTCGTTGTAATAATTCATGAAGAACAGAAGCGATTTTGTTAGTTATTTGCACGAGACAAGCAGATGCTCCCATCAGTTCTTGTGGAGATGTTAAATCTGACACCTTTTTCGTGTTCGGTTGGAAAGGCGGTGGATAGTATCACATTTTCTGTTTCATTCTCTGACTGAGCCTGAAAAACCCGGAGAGTCTGAATTCGTTTACACTCTGGTATCTTTTGTCAGTGTAGAAATTAGGATTTATCTGTCTCTGCCATGAAACACATGATTCTAATTCTTTCTTTGTTGTTTATCCGCCATGGTTTCATAAACACGTTCTCGCTTAGAATCGCAGATCAGACGGTGAAGCCTGCTTTGACAGCAACACCTCCACTAGCAGCTCAGAAGGTTGTTAGAACTTTAAAAAGCCAACGAAAGGCATTCAGCAGGCATCTTTCTCTCTCTCTCTCTCTTCATGGTGCCGAAACATTGTGATCTGTTAGGCTACTAATTGTGTTCCATGCATGATGCATTCACATTCAGCTTTCCATGAGAGTTTTTTTTATATGAATTACATAAAGTTGATAACCCTCATCTCACCCGGAGGGATTCATAGCACCATGGGCGAGCACGACGCGGACAAAAGAGACCTCAGAAAGCGGGACTGTCCTGAACTGAACATCAGCTTGGACAAAAGATGTTGTATCTATGTAAATACAGGACATTGCTGAAAACGCTTCAGGAGACAGGTTTGTGTGTATCGAGCATACAGTACGTATGCGTGTGTGTGCTTGTGTGTGTGAGTGTTTGTCCTCGTTCGTCCTCCGGCATGAGAAAGATATACGCAAGACTACGAGAACCCTTTCTCTTGCCTCCTATATTCTCTATGGTGTGAAACTACAGCCCAATACCCATCCGAATGAGACTACAAAACAAACAGGATAAAGAGAACGGAGGCGAAATCATATTTTCAGAACTGTATGGCATCTCTTCTAGGAGGGGAAAAAAGGAACCCGTTCTCATCGGGATGCCAGCTCACCACCTCCCAAACCTAAGAAAGTGAAAAGAAGCGAACTGACAAGGCTTTTATGGATAAAGCAGCACAACCTTGTGTCCAGACTTTTGTATCTAATGACACCTCCTGGAAAGGAGGAAAAAAGGAAGAAAAAAAAAAACTGTATACCGTCTAGATATTTCTCACACTTGAAAATATGTTTTTCCTGAATTGACATTCCTTGTTATTACAAAGAGGTTTTTGTTTAGTCCTTTCTCTGCAAATGAAAAAAAAAATTTATTCACAATAGATATTACTTCAGTAACACGAAGTGATTTTCAAATGTGAAATTCTGGGGGAAAAAAATAATAATAATGTTTTGGGATTTTATTGAATTTGGTAAAAGATGAAGCATTACACCTAGCCATACCTCCATTTTACATTTGGTTTTTTTTTTTACGTCATTGACTGGGCTTTTTTCTGTTTGTGTTTTTGTTTTGTTTGTTCTTTTAAGATATAATTGTCATTTACCTATGCTGGTCAAAGTATATTCCCGTTCTTAATGTAATTGTAAAGTGTTACCGTGAGATGAAATCTAAATATATGTGCAATTACAGAGGGAAAAATACAATTGGTTCTATACTTCGTACTGATTTGGTCAGTGTGGTCTCTTTTATTTCTACAAATATTTGTCTTAAAGGGATTGACACTATCGTTCAAAAGTTTGGGATCTTTTAAACTTTCTTTTCATCAAAGAATCCTGAAAAATGTATTACAGATTCCACAAAGATATTAAGAGGGTTTCAACATAATAACGAGAAGAAATGTTTTCTGAGATTTGAATGATTTCTGAAGGATCATGTGGCACTGAAGACTGGAGAAAGGTTCAGCTTTGCCATCATATGAAAAAATTATTTTAAAATATATTCAAATAGAAAACTGTTATTTTAAATTGTAATAATATTTCACAATATAACAGTTTTTATTGTATTTACAATCAAATAAATGTAGCTTTAATGAGAGACTTCTTTCGAAAACATAATATTTAAAAAATCAACAAATATATATATATATATATATATTATCAACCTCTCTCTCTCTTCATGGTGCCGAAACATTGTGATCTGTTAGGCTACTAATTGTGTTCCATGCATGATGCATTCACATTCAGCTTTCCATGAGAGTTTTTTTTATATGAATTACATAAAGTTGATAACCCTCATCTCACCCGGAGGGATTCATAGCACCATGGGCGAGCACGACGCGGACAAAAGAGACCTCAGAAAGTGGGACTGTCCTGAACTGAACATCAGCTTGGACAAAAGATGTTGTATCTATGTAAATACAGGACATTGCTGAAAACGCTTCAGGAGACAGGTTTGTGTGTATCGAGCATACAGTACGTATGCGTGTGTGTGCTTGTGTGTGTGAGTGTTTGTCCTCGTTCGTCCTCCGGCATGAGAAAGATATACGCAAGACTACGAGAACCCTTTCTCTTGCCTCCTATATTCTCTATGGTGTGAAACTACAGCCCAATACCCATCCGAATGAGACTACAAAACAAACAGGATAAAGAGAACGGAGGCGAAATCATATTTTCAGAACTGTATGGCATCTCTTCTAGGAGGGGAAAAAAGGAACCCGTTCTCATCGGGATGCCAGCTCACCACCTCCCAAACCTAAGAAAGTGAAAAGAAGCGAACTGACAAGGCTTTTATGGATAAAGCAGCACAACCTTGTGTCCAGACTTTTGTATCTAATGACACCTCCTGGAAAGGAGGAAAAAAGGAAGAAAAAAAAAAACTGTATACCGTCTAGATATTTCTCACACTTGAAAATATGTTTTTCCTGAATTGACATTCCTTGTTATTACAAAGAGGTTTTTGTTTAGTCCTTTCTCTGCAAATGAAAAAAAAAATTTATTCACAATAGATATTACTTCAGTAACACGAAGTGATTTTCAAATGTGAAATTCTGGGGGAAAAAAATAATAATAATGTTTTGGGATTTTATTGAATTTGGTAAAAGATGAAGCATTACACCTAGCCATACCTCCATTTTACATTTGGGTTTTTTTTTACGTCATTGACTGGGCTTTTTTCTGTTTGTGTTTTTGTTTTGTTTGTTCTTTTAAGATATAATTGTCATTTACCTATGCTGGTCAAAGTATATTCCCGTTCTTAATGTAATTGTAAAGTGTTACCGTGAGATGAAATCTAAATATATGTGCAATTACAGAGGGAAAAATACAATTGGTTCTATACTTCGTACTGATTTGGTCAGTGTGGTCTCTTTTATTTCTACAAATATTTGTCTTAAAGGGATTGACACTATCGTTCAAAAGTTTGGGATCTTTTAAACTTTCTTTTCATCAAAGAATCCTGAAAAATGTATTACAGATTCCACAAAGATATTAAGAGGGTTTCAACATAATAACGAGAAGAAATGTTTTCTGAGATTTGAATGATTTCTGAAGGATCATGTGGCACTGAAGACTGGAGAAAGGTTCAGCTTTGCCATCATATGAAAAAATTATTTTAAAATATATTCAAATAGAAAACTGTTATTTTAAATTGTAATAATATTTCACAATATAACAGTTTTTATTGTATTTACAATCAAATAAATGTAGCTTTAATGAGAGACTTCTTTCGAAAACATAATATTTAAAAAATCAACATATATATATATATATATATATATATATTATCAACCCCAAACGTTTGAGTGTAAGTCACCCAAAAATGAAAATGTTATTAGTATTGTTGTTCTAAACCTGTATGACCTTTCATGGGAGAAAATATTTCGTTTTTTTATGTTTCATAGTAAGAAAGTCCTATGGGTTTGGAGCAACATGAAGGTGAGTTATATATATATATATATATATTATCAACCCCAAACGTTTGAGTGTAAGTCACCCAAAAATGAAAATGTTATTAGTATTGTTGTTCTAAACCTGTATGACCTTTCATGGGAGAAAATATTTCGTTTTTTTATGTTTCATAGTAAGAAAGTCCTATGGGTTTGGAGCAACATGAAGGTGAGTAATTGATGACAGTCTCTTTAAGACGTCCATGTTGTGAAATCTCCACTTTATTTATTGTTGTCAGAAGTTTGAGACTTTCATTTTTAATATTGAACATAACATTTTTCATCTTAGACCACTGGTAATTCGAAAACCATTATTTCACAGTGTCTTTCCTGCCTGAAAATCAAGTATTATCCCCTGTAAGAACTCTCACGCTGTGAAGTCAAGCCCTTGTCTTACATGGCAATTTCATCATCTGGTCTTATATATTGACGGGTTCCTACTCCAGAAGACTCCACATACTGCTAATACAAAGATGTCTTTAGATTCCTCTGCTGTCGCACTGCTCAGATCTAGGTAGTCGGGTCTCTAAACAACACTCTTCCTTTATGGTCTTGAAGGGAAAGAGGCTCCCACATTTTCTTTCTCTTTGTTCTGCACCCTCTTTATATTATGAATTAACTCAAATTTTCACTTCTGCTAGTGCACTTGTCCTGCCAGAGGAAATGCATTAAGAGTACAAAAAAAAAACTTCCCGTATGTCACTGAAATGACACTGTTTGATAGGCAAGCAAGATTTGAAACTTTCTTTTGTTGTATCTGCTAAGACAACTAATTTTATGCCAAAAAAAAAAAAAAGAGTGGTCTGTAGCGGTAGCGAGACAAAGACCTAACAGACAGTGAGCAGTAGGCTAATGGGCAGTTGGGATGCCACTGGGTAATTCCCCAGGTAAAGAAAACCACCAGTCCATGTTTCTGGAAAAATGTGTGTAATACTGATGGAATGTCACTAATGTTGAGAAACTTTCCTTATCTGCTGGTCTTACTCTAGAAAGATGTTGAGACTGAAACTTTGTCAAGACTAGGGTTGCAAAGGGGTGGAAAATTTCCAAAAATCCCTGGAATAGTTCCAAAAATCCTGGAAAGTTTCCAAAATTTCTGGAATTTTCCACCTTTTTGCAACCCTAGTCAAGACACATGACGGCTGCACATGTCAGCAGATTTTATGAAGCTACTTAAGTGATATTTTTTATGAAATCTATTTTTTAAGGCAACCAAAGCAACATCAAACTAAAAAATTTGTAGAAATATACATACAGTACTGTCCAAATATTTGCGGCAAATTTGTATTTATTTATTTTTTAAGAAATTAATGCTTCTGTTCATCAAGGATGCATTAAATTGACAGCAAAGACATTTATAATGTTACAAACTGTTTGTATTTTAAATAAATTGTTTTTTTATACCTTATCTTTACTATTCGTGGTGGGATCCTGAAAAAATGTTTTCTGCAAAATTGTTAATCAGAAAATCATTTTTCTTACATTGACAATATGAAATGTTTCTTGTGCAACAAATCAGCATATTAGAATTATATCGGAACGATCATGAAACCCTTTAAGACTGGAGTAGTGACTGATGAAAATTCATCTTTGACATCACAGGAATAAATTACATTTTAAAATGTAGGCCTATTCATATAGAAAAAGTTATTTTAAATTGTAATAATATTTCACAGTATTACTGATTTTACTGTATTTTTAACCAATAAATGCAGCCTTGGGGAGCATTAGAGCCTTATTTAAAACAACTTTTTAAGTTTTTAAGTTTAAAAACTTACCTCAAACTTTCTTTAGGTAGTGTGTATAATTGTCATGATTAAAAGACAAAACAGTATTTTAACTTTCATTAAAGTTCCTTTTCAAGGCAGTAGCATGTTTTAAAGTTTTACAGTATGTAAGTAACAGCTCTTTACAAGCACAATGAATGTTATTGATCAGATATACAAGAAGCAGTCATTAAAGTCCATGTAACACAATATTATGTGTTCTGAGTTTGTCACGCCACAGAAAAAATGTCATTAACCACCCAGCCAAATTTGAATGATTAAAAAAAACAAACACCAAGTTATCAAAATCTTGAAAAAATAAGCAGTATTCTCTGCTCTCAAACGTTGCCGGCGTTGAAACCATGCCCACTCTTGAGAAAGCTGCCGCCTCTCTCAACTGTCAAATACCGCTACAACCTGAATGGATGCTCCCTCTAGAAGCTTAATTGGATTTGCACAGCCATACATGTTTGGTAATATGCATTTACGGGACAAAGTCATAGCTAGCAAACTGTAGGCTGTTGTAACTAATGGTAATGATAGTAACTTGCCATTGAGCGGGCAAACCACTGATTAGAGGAGGGGCCATAATCAGTGGTTCCAGTGCTTCATCCAGACATGATTTCAGGCCCGCCCAAAAAAATCCTGAACACAAAAATGGTGAAAAACTGTTTAACTCCACAAATTTAGTACTACATAGTTTAGTCTTTGTAATCTGTTTTCAGTAGTAAATTTCTAATATTTATAATGTGCTTAGAAACAATTTTCTGAATTGCCTTTACATGAACTTTAAATAGATGCGAGACATCAGGAACACATTCCTTTGCGTCCATTGTTTTGTAAGTGTGGCAAAAAGTTGATAATAGTACAGCAAAGCATGTGGACAAACATGAAATGTTATGACATCGCTTATGATACTTGTGTTTTCACTATAAGGTGAACCTGCCGCTCCTGTAACACTCCTAAGTTGACTGTTAAACATTTTATTTAGCTTGACAGCTTTTAATGTCATCAGACAAACAGTTTATTCAGTTTTATAATGATGTTTAATTGTCTACAAGAAAGCATAGGATTATGATCAGTTGCATCTTGTCTGTCTTATGTACTTTTAAATGTTTATTAATTAATTTATTAATAATTTGTTAATTACTCTTATATACTATGACAATAGACTTATATAATGACGTAGCATAAACAACTCAATAAATGAATACATTTACCATTAGGTAAAGTTGTATTTTGCTGGTCTACATAAGAAGCAGTGTCTAATATGAAATTGAGGTTGTAATTTTTGCAAGCACATTGATGTGATTCTCCCACTTTCATTCTTTCAGGCCCTTCCTGCCAGTTTAGTCGTGGCTGGTGTGTACTGCGCTGTGATAGCGGCCTTCTTTACGGCCATAAAAGCAGTGAACTTCCGACTACATGCCATGTTTGACCTGGGCGAGATTGTGGAGAAGAGGCGGGCCTCGTTCACCACAGACCCCAATAGAGTGGAAGAAGGAGAGGAAGGCTCTGGTGCTCGTGACGGAAGCCAACGCAGGTAGCGTGTAACTACCTTACTATATTTTGTTGTCAAACTACATTGACACTTTTCTGACTCTCAAGTAGGCAGCATCAGTTTGTAGAGCATTAAAGCATCATGCTACTGAGTCAGACATTCTTTAGGGATTTGTTGTTGGTGAACAGCTGTTGGTGGTATAAAGCAGTCGCTCCGCTGTGGTCAGTTTTAGCTCATGTCGGTATGCCTGTGCCAACAGGGACAGTAGTGTCGGCGTGGAAATGACAGTATTCCGAAAGGTGAACTCCACCCCTCCTGTACGCTGCAGTTCCCAGCACTCGCTGTTTGGATTGAACCAGGTGTCGGTGAGAATATTGTTAATGCCAAACATTGCATGTCCTTTAGCATTATTCTCCTTCACTCGTAGGAATTTCCTCTGACTCGTTAACGTTTCTTTTGCCCAGGAATTTTTACCACAGCTTGAAGACCCTGGAGGCTCAAAGGGTACATTGTGTTGTTACTGTTGCTTTTTTTAAATAAATTAAACCAAATAGTTTGTTAACATGAGCTGGTATGCTTACATTTCAATTCTTATCTGAATTTTATCATTTTTAAAATTCCAGATATTAAAGAGCTCATGCAGGGCAGTAGTAATGTGATCGTGACCTCTGCATATAGAGACGTCCTTCGACACAACTCTCAGGACAACACTAGTAAGAACAACCCCTTTACAGATGCACTACATTACAGCTGCATAGGACTGTTCCTTAAACTTCTAATCCAGAGTGCGAAAATGGCCACCCACTTTTTTCAGCAGCCTTTGTTTGTAAAATCAGAATTCCAACAATATTTTAAAGTTGATATGAAATTAACATTCACCTTATATATTTTGTAAATGCATGTTGTGTATCTTATTGTGAATGCTTTGTCTATGTATGTTTTATTATAATTTGATTTTATTTTTTCCTTTATTTTTTTTGTGTTTTTTACTTTTAAGCTTTTTGACGTTTAATCAAAATGTTGTAATCTTCCGGTGAAAAAAGACAAAACTCTGGTGCTGTACAGAAGACTTCTCCAATAATTTATTTTGTTTTAAACCCTGCCCCTGCGCAGTCGACCACAAGCTTGCATTCATTTTTGAGTAAAACTACCACATCTCAAAATCCAGTTGTGGAAAAAAAGCCCGCACTGCATTTTTTTCTTTTTAAATAATCAGTTTCACTCAGTCCCAGCCACACTCACAATATGGAAGAAAAGATCTGTTACTACTTCCATTTTATCACATAATAAAGAAAAAGTATAACCAACCAGCTCTTGAGATTAATCACAGTATTATAAGCTTTTGACGCAAACACGTTTTTTTTTTTTAAATCAGAACACAAAGATTCAGGATTTTATACTTAAAATTAACTGCTTATTTCATGAAATATTGTCTGGTGCAATCAAAAAAATAAATAAAACTACTGGCTTACACTCATTGGTAAGTATACAATGTATTTTACATGTTTATTGCAAAATATTATTATAAAATATTATAAATTAGGTTAACTGAATAAATTAATAGCTTAAACTCAATGAATTAGTGAAATCTCATAATTAGTACATTATGCTGCATGTGCCTCTAAACATCTCTACTGTACTCGGTAGTAACTGCATGTTTTTTGTCGTTCCAGGTGTGGCGCCATCCTGCTTGGCTGGGGATTACAGAGAGCTAATTGGTGTGGGCAATGTATTGTCGGGAGGATTTAGTAACCTGCACCCAACAAATTGTCCTTCCACCCCGCCGTCCCCATCCAGCCAAGAAGATGGAGATGAGAAGGACCAGGTGGATAATGGGGGTGTGGAGCAACTATCTCAGCAGAGCCCCGATGGGGAGGGTCTAGGAGGCTACTCCCCCCTCGGACCTTCAGCTGAGTCTGAGAGTCTGGGAGATGCTCCTCGCAGCCCTCTCATCAAGAGTAGCTTGAGCGAAGAGCTAAGTGAGAACTTGTTGGGCTTGGGCCTTGACCCCGTCACTTTTGCCCCCGGTGCTGAGCACCCAGGCAGCCGCACCGGGGTGGCCCTGGCTGCAGGCTCCACTGACAGCTGCTTCAGTGGAGGTGGAGCAGCCACAGACAGAGAGACTCTTAGTACAGTCAGTAGCTACCGCAGTGAGAAAACGGACTCAACCCAGCTTGAGAGCCCTTCACTGGGCCAGACGCATAAACCCGTGTCTAATGCTCCTTCCACAGCTTTGCCTCAGGGTAAAGGCCCCTATCAGCAGCCTGGAGATGTGCTCCAGGGTGGTAGTGACACAGATGACCTGTCAGACAGCGTGCTGCTACGCTCACCCTCCAAAGAGCTCTCCTCTGGGCAGGGCCTGGACAGAACTCTGGTGGAGGGGGAGGACCTTCCCCCTTTGCTTATGAACATTGCACAGCCCTCCTTGCAGGACTCCTCGCCATCTAGCAGTGGGCCTTCTGAGACCTGTGATCTTGATTGTGGCATCACCATACCCCCTCTTCCTCCTCCGCGCCAGGCCTGCTCTGTACCATCAGGGTTGACACTGGGCTTGGTCTGCTCCGAGCCTGCTCTGCCAGTCTCTGCCCCTTCCTACCTCCTAGCAGAGCCACCGTCTCTGCAAGCGCAGCAGCAGGTGGTGCGACCTAAAGATCTGAAAGTGCTGCGTGCCGGCGGCAGTGTGGGTCACCGACCCGGTCGCAGGAAAACTCCCCGCAAACGAGGCACTGCTGGCAGTAGCAGTTTCGACTGTGGCTCCTACCGCCGGCACCACAACCGTGGCCAACACCGAGACTACATCCCTGTACGCAGTCGGCTAGGTGCCAAAGCCTACAGTGAGAGCTTGTTCGAGGACTCCAGCGATGAAGATGATGGCAGTGACATGAGTGCAGGTTCTAGTCTAGGATCCCAACGTCGCTTCAGCTCTGACGACGAAGATGAAGATGATGATTCTAGCTCCTCTACCTCCTGCTACTCCCCTGATCTGACAAATATCGGCATCACTTCCCAACCTGTCCCCCCTCATCTACCTAGCCCTGGAGAGGGGGAGGAGCCTGACACAGTAGGACCCTCCCATTCTCGCAGTGCTCAGCGCTCAGCCAGCACAGCTAGTGCCAAGACTCATGCCAGAGTCCTTAGCATGGATGGGGCCGGTGGAGGCTCCAACAACACAGGGACCCTTGCGTCTACTATGCTTCCTTTACCTCTTTCTTCTGCTCCTGCCCCACGTCCACTCACCATCTCTAAATCAGATCTGGAGGCTCGGACAGTGCACTCAGAGGGCTTCTCCAGGGCCCACCATAGGCTAGACTCTCTTGGAGGCTCCTGGGCTGGGAACCAGACAGGCTGGAGGGCAGGAGAGCTGCTAGAAGAGGGGGCAGTAGGAGGAGGTGAAGAGCGAACAGATTCATTCTTAATAATTCGTATTTAGTTTTGTGATTTGCGGTGTTGTTCTTTTTTTCATTATTATTATTATTTTTATTTTTTATTCACTAAAGTGTTTTTTTTCTCCCCATGCTGTGTGAGATCCTCATGATACCACACCTGTGAATTTATTTTTTTGTTTATTATTATTTACTTATTGTTTTATTATATAAAAATGTTACCTTTTTGTTATTGTTTAATAATTAATTTAATTAACTAATTTCTGCTTTAGTGAATATATAATGTGTTTTTTTTTTTTTGCTTATTAAAATGGTTGCTTTTTGCCCATGCAGCCCCAGAGGAGGGTAGTAAACGTGACTCTGTGAGCAGTGTAAAAAGGACGCAGGCCATTCGCAGGCGTCATAATGCTGGTAGTAACCCCACCCCGCCCCCTTCTGCCATGGGCTCTCCTCCGAGTCTTCAAGACCTTCAGAGAGTCCGGACTTCCTCTCACTCCCGCACACGAACACTCCCCTCTGCTTTGCACTTCGCTGCCTCATCCTTGCTGCTACTGCCCCGAAGCGGCGTTCACGAGGCATCCACTTTTGATGACACCTCAGAGGGAGCTGTGCACTACTTTTATGATGAGAGTGGTAAATAATCATTTGTGCTTCAGTGACACTAATTTAATTCTGGCTTAGTTGTGGTTGTTTTTTTTAATTAAAGGGATCTAATTTCAGGAGTAAAGAGGTCTTATACTTTTGGACCTGCTGGTGGAGGATATGAGGACCCAGTCCAGTACGTCTTAAAACTTTTACCATTGGGGTGATATTCACCAGTCTCCCAGTGTTTAACCCCTTTTTTTGGCACAGGGAGCGAGAGCGACAGTCACAGTCCTCTAGCTTTACCTCCACTGATGTACAGGAGGTGGCGCCAGTGCTGTCTATGCTGCAGCCCAGGCCGGTGGTCCTCCAGGGCATGCAGGTCCGCAGGGTGCCTCTGGATATGCCAGAGGTGAGGCTTAACTCTTCGAAATCGTCAATACACATGTTCCATTTCAATCCTGTCTTGACTATTTTCTTTGTAGTTTGACCTAGATCATGAGTCCCCTCACGAATCCCAGGAGAACACGCTGATGATTGAGGAAAAGGCCAAGCCTAAACAGTATTACCGTTTCTGGGTGCTGCCGGGGAAATGGCTAAGAGTTTGTTATGACAGACTTGCTTTGCTAGCCTTACTGGACAGGAACCGACGCGTAGGGGAGAATGTGTTTTCGGTGGTGTTGGCCAGCTTAGTGGCGTTTCTTGGCTTCTTGTTGCTATTCCAGGGCTTCTTTAGGGACATCTGGGTCTTCCAGTTCTGCCTAGTCATTGCCAGCTGTCAGTACTCCTTGCTAAAGGTCAGTGTGAGCATTTTTAAAATGGTCTATTTGTGTTTGTTTTAGCATTTGTTATCTCTCTTTTCAGGTGTTGGCATCTCTTGATCATTGTAAAGTATCCACATGTCCCGATAGTGGTGTTGTGTTTGTGTTAATGTTAATCAGTCTTCTGGTCCATTTCAGAGTGTGCAGCCTGATGCGGCATCTCCGATGCATGTGAGTATATGACTGTTTGTACGTCTTTACTTGGACCTGCCTAGCTGAAATCAAACAGAAATATTCATTTAATGTGGTCTTCATTGCAGGGCCATAACTGGATCATCGTGTACAGCCGACCAGTGTATTTCTGCTTGTGTTGTGTGCTGATCTCGGTATTTGACCTGGTTGGCCACTCAGACAGTATGCGGCCTTTCATCCTCTATGGGGTCACCTTCTTCTCCACCCACTTTCTGCTCTGTGCTAGAGACATGCTCATAGGTCTGCTCACTCACTCAAAGCCAGTCCCCTGATCTGACAAATATCGGCATCACTTCCCAACCTGTCCCCCCTCATCTACCTAGCCCTGGAGAGGGGGAGGAGCCTGACACAGTAGGACCCTCCCATTCTCGCAGTGCTCAGCGCTCAGCCAGCACAGCTAGTGCCAAGACTCATGCCAGAGTGCTTAGCATGGATGGGGCCGGTGGAGGCTCCAACAACACAGGGACCCTTGCGTCTACTATGCTTCCTTTACCTCTTTCTTCTGCTCCTGCCCCACGTCCACTCACCATCTCTAAATCAGATCTGGAGGCTCGGACAGTGCACTCAGAGGGCTTCTCCAGGGCCCACCATAGGCTAGACTCTCTTGGAGGCTCCTGGGCTGGGAACCAGACAGGCTGGAGGGCAGGAGAGCTGCTAGAAGAGGGGGCAGTAGGAGGAGGTGAAGAGCGAACAGATTCATTCTTAATAATTCGTATTTAGTTTTGTGATTTGCGGTGTTGTTCTTTTTTTCATTATTATTATTATTTTTATTTTTTATTCACTAAAGTGTTTTTTTTCTCCCCATGCTGTGTGAGATCCTCATGATACCACACCTGTGAATTTATTTTTTTGTTTATTATTATTTACTTATTGTTTTATTATATAAAAATGTTACCTTTTTGTTATTGTTTAATAATTAATTTAATTAACTAATTTCTGCTTTAGCGAATATTTAATGTTTTTTTTTTTTTGGCTTATTAAAATGGTTGCTTTTTGCCCATGCAGCCCCAGAGGAGGGTAGTAAACGTGACTCTGTGAGCAGTGTAAAAAGGACGCAGGCCATTCGCAGGCGTCATAATGCTGGTAGTAACCCCACCCCGCCCCCTTCTGCCATGGGCTCTCCTCCGAGTCTTCAAGACCTTCAGAGAGTCCGGACTTCCTCTCACTCCCGCACACGAACACTCCCCTCTGCTTTGCACTTCGCTGCCTCATCCTTGCTGCTACTGCCCCGAAGCGGCGTTCACGAGGCATCCACTTTTGATGACACCTCAGAGGGAGCTGTGCACTACTTTTATGATGAGAGTGGTAAATAATCATTTGTGCTTCAGTGACACTAATTTAATTCTGGCTTAGTTGTGGTTGTTTTTTTTAATTAAAGGGATCTAATTTCAGGAGTAAAGAGGTCTTATACTTTTGGACCTGCTGGTGGAGGATATGAGGACCCAGTCCAGTACGTCTTAAAACTTTTACCATTGGGGTGATATTCACCAGTCTCCCAGTGTTTAACCCCTTTTTTTGGCACAGGGAGCGAGAGCGACAGTCACAGTCCTCTAGCTTTACCTCCACTGATGTACAGGAGGTGGCGCCAGTGCTGTCTATGCTGCAGCCCAGGCCGGTGGTCCTCCAGGGCATGCAGGTCCGCAGGGTGCCTCTGGATATGCCAGAGGTGAGGCTTAACTCTTCGAAATCGTCAATACACATGTTCCATTTCAATCCTGTCTTGACTATTTTCTTTGTAGTTTGACCTAGATCATGAGTCCCCTCACGAATCCCAGGAGAACACGCTGATGATTGAGGAAAAGGCCAAGCCTAAACAGTATTACCGTTTCTGGGTGCTGCCGGGGAAATGGCTAAGAGTTTGTTATGACAGACTTGCTTTGCTAGCCTTACTGGACAGGAACCGACGCGTAGGGGAGAATGTGTTTTCGGTGGTGTTGGCCAGCTTAGTGGCGTTTCTTGGCTTCTTGTTGCTATTCCAGGGCTTCTTTAGGGACATCTGGGTCTTCCAGTTCTGCCTAGTCATTGCCAGCTGTCAGTACTCCTTGCTAAAGGTCAGTGTGAGCATTTTTAAAATGGTCTATTTGTGTTTGTTTTAGCATTTGTTATCTCTCTTTTCAGGTGTTGGCATCTCTTGATCATTGTAAAGTATCCACATGTCCCGATAGTGGTGTTGTGTTTGTGTTAATGTTAATCAGTCTTTTTTTCTGGTCCATTTCAGAGTGTGCAGCCTGATGCGGCATCTCCGATGCATGTGAGTATATGACTGTTTGTACGTCTTTACTTGGACCTGCCTAGCTGAAATCAAACAGAAATATTCATTTAATGTGGTCTTCATTGCAGGGCCATAACTGGATCATCGTGTACAGCCGACCAGTGTATTTCTGCTTGTGTTGTGTGCTGATCTCGGTATTTGACCTGGTTGGCCACTCAGACAGTATGCGGCCTTTCATCCTCTATGGGGTCACCTTCTTCTCCACCCACTTTCTGCTCTGTGCTAGAGACATGCTCATAGGTCTGCTCACTCACTCAAAGCCAGTGCTGTTAAACCTTTCGTAATTGAGTTGTGCATAATATAACAACGTAATAATTCATACATTTTCTTTTACAGTGTTCACCCTCTGTTTCCCCATCATCTTCCTGTTTGGGCTTCTGCCTCAGGTCAACACGTTTCTTATGTGTTTGTTGGAACAGGTGGACATGCACATTTTCGGTGGAACTGGTGAGACATGCATTACACATTACTAATGCTATTGCAGTAACACTTAACAAGTTCCCATCATTTATGTTAGTTAATATATAAACTAACAATGAGCAATATTTTTATATAATGCTTACAAATGGAACTTTATAGTAAAGTGTTACTGCCATTGCTATGATGGTCCTGCTCAACTGGTACAGCATGGTGCTTGCAACTCCAAAGTCATGGATTGGATTCCTAGGGATCTGGTATACTGTACATCCTTGCACCACAAGTGTGATGTCTTGTCATTTGTGTGTTTCAGCAACCACAAGTCCCCTGTCTTCAGTCTATAGTCTGTTGCGCAGTATATTGGTGGCGGCTCTGGTTTATGGATTTTGCCTTGGTGCCATCAATGTAAGTGGGAATCTGTTTGTCTCTTTCAGAGTAGAATTTTGTTTATTGGTGCTTCCTTTACTAATTTTATGTGTTTGTGTAGGCTCCGTGGGGAGAGGCACATGTCCCAGTTCTCTTCTCTGTGTTCTGTGGCCTCCTCCTGGCCTTGTCCTATCATCTGAGCAGGCAGAGCAGTGACCTGACCATCCTCTGGTCAGCGTCACCACACATTCATGATTTTCCAGTCATCTTACTACACCATCAGCTCTGTGATCGACATCTGATGTTCTGTTTTTTCACTGTTCTCTGGGCAGGTCTCTGGTCCGCTCCAAGTTCTTCCCAGAGCTAGAGAGCCGAACACCAGAAGAGCCCCCATTAGAGATTAAAGACCCTCTTCCAGAGAAATTGCGCAACTCTGTGGTAAAAGCACTCTCCATTTGCATTTATCTTTTGCTAAATAGGTGTTTCAATGGTTTTTAATGGCTCCCTTCTCTCTGACTCTGCAGAAAGAGACTCTTCACTCAGATCTGGTCATGTGCCCTCTTATGGCCATTATCACCTTCGCCATTAGTGCCAGCACCGTCTTTATTGCTCTGCAGGTCAGTAGGCTGTCTAGAATGTGATTTTGAGTATGTTAATAGTCTCGTTGAGAGAACTAGTCCTCATCCAAGGACTGAACATCGTTTCTAGTCTTGTAAAGGTGGAAAGTCTAGTTAATTGTAGCAAATCTAATTTCCCTAAAAAAAAGTGTTTTTTTGTTTTTTTTTTGGTAAATTATTGCTGTGGTTTTAATATGCACCTGCACCACTTTTCAGCCTGCTCTCAGTTTCGTCCTGTACATCTTGGCTGGGGTGGTGGGGTTCACCACACACTACCTCCTGCCTCAGCTCCGCAAACAGCTGCCCTGGTTCTGCTTGGCCCACCCTGTGCTGCGCTCCAGAGAATACAGCCAGTTTGAGGTCCGAGGTAAGTAGTCAAAACTACACGAACAAACTAATGTCTGAAAGTCTGAACAAGTGTGACGGACATATCTCTCTCTGTCTCAGATGCTGCTCAGCTCATGTGGTTTGAGAAGCTGTATGCTTGGCTGCAGTGTGTGGAGAAGTATTTCATCTACCCAGCTGTAGTGCTCAACTCCCTCACCACTGAAGCTCACACTGTCAGCCAAAACCCTGACAAACCTGGAGCCTAGTAAGAACAAGAACATCCAGAATCCTCAAGATTTCTCTGAGTCCTAGTGTAGAGTAAAGCACAACACTAGCTGATGTTAATCCTTGTTTTGAAAGATTTTGAATTCAGGGTTTTCCATGTGGTCTCAGACTTTTCAGACAGTGATATCTTTTATTTGGTTCTTCAGTGGCCGTGCTCTATTCATCTCAGTGGCTGGAATGAAGCTGCTTCGTACGTCCTTCGGTGTCCCATCTCAGCAGTATGTCACTCTGTGTTTCACCGCCCTCTTCTTCCAATTCGACTACCCGCGCTTTTCACAGACCTTCCTCCTCGACTACTACTGCATGTCCATCCTCTTCAGCAAGGTCTGTCAACATCTGAATCTCTGAGATGCCTTTAGGAGAGCCAATTTCAGTACTTGTAACATGACCATTTCCACCATTCCGAAGGCTTCTGTATATACACTACCATTCAAAAGTGCATGTTTGGTCAGATTTTTTTAATTTTCTTGAAATTTTCACAAGGGCTGCATTTATCTGATCACATTTAAAATGAAAATTAAATCATTTATTCACCTTTGTGTTGTTTTTAATGCTGTAAATTTTTTGTGTCTTTTTTGGACCACAAAAGGACGTGCACGTGCTTTTCCATACAATGGCAGTGTATGGCGATCAGCATCAAGCTTTTAAAAAAAGCCACAAAAGTATCACAGAGTGGTCCCATGCGACATGTGCCATAGATTCCAAGTGTTTGGGGGGGTATATGATAGGGTTTGGTGAGAAATAAACTGAAATTTAACGTATTATTTAATGAATATCCTGACCTTGGCATGGTCTGTGTGCACGACTGCACATTTATGAGATTATTAGCACAGCAGTTGACTCCAACTTGCACAGGAAAAGCACACAAGTTGTGAAAAATCAAGATTAATAAAAATTTCCTTTTGTGGTCCAACATATAATATATAATATAATAAGTAAGTAAAGTTCCTGTGGCTCAGTGGTAGAGCATTACGTTAGCAGTACAAAGGTCGTGGGTTCAATTCCCAGGGAACACACATACTGATAAAAAATGTGTAGCCTGAATGCACTGTAAGTCGCTTTGGATAAAAGCGTCTGCTAAATGCATTAATTTAAATGATTGTAATTTTCATTTTTGGGTGAACTACCCCTTTAAGCGGTAAAGCAGTAATATTGTGAAACTTTATAAAATACAAAATTAACTTTTTATTTTCAAATGTAATTTATTCCTTTGATTGTAAAGCTGAATTTTCAGCAGCCATTACTCCAGTCTTCAGTGTCACATGGTCCTCCATAAATCATTCTAATATGCTGATTTGGTGCTCAAGAAACATTTCTTATTATTGTTAAAAACAGTTGTGCTGCTTAATATTTTTATGGAAACATACTTTTTTCAGCATTCTTTTAAGAAAAGAATAACATTTATTATTTTAAAAGGAAATCTTTTGTAACAAATGGCTATTACTGTCACTTTTGATCAAATTAATGCGTTCTTGCTGAATAAATGTATTAAAATTTTTTTAAAAACAAACCTTACTGACCCCAGACCTTTGAACGGTATTGTGTGTATAAATAAGTAGTTGACACAATGTGTCTGTTGACATGTTTTTTTTTTAATCATCGTTATTAAAATTTGAATTAATTTATAAGGAAAGCATTTATTATATGCAAATCATGTATCTGGCCTCCATTTCTTTTAAGGTTTTCACCATTATAACACTTTTTATCTTCACTTGTTAATTCTAAATGGTTCTGGTGTAATTGTTATTCCAAAAGACCAAAATATTCCCTTTAGGAAATGTTTAGGATATGGATACATAATGGGTTTTAATATGCACCTGCACCACTTTTCAGCCTGCTCTCAGTTTCGTCCTGTACATCTTGGCTGGGGTGGTGGGGTTCACCACACACTACCTCCTGCCTCAGCTCCGCAAACAGCTGCCCTGGTTCTGCTTGGCCCACCCTGTGCTGCGCTCCAGAGAATACAGCCAGTTTGAGGTCCGAGGTAAGTAGTCAAAACTACACGAACAAACTAATGTCTGAAAGTCTGAACAAGTGTGACGGACATATCTCTCTCTGTCTCAGATGCTGCTCAGCTCATGTGGTTTGAGAAGCTGTATGCTTGGCTGCAGTGTGTGGAGAAGTATTTCATCTACCCAGCTGTAGTGCTCAACTCCCTCACCACTGAAGCTCACACTGTCAGCCAAAACCCTGACAAACCTGGAGCCTAGTAAGAACAAGAACATCCAGAATCCTCAAGATTTCTCTGAGTCCTAGTGTAGAGTAAAGCACAACACTAGCTGATGTTAATCCTTGTTTTGAAAGATTTTGAATTCAGGGTTTTCCATGTGGTCTCAGACTTTTCAGACAGTGATATCTTTTATTTGGTTCTTCAGTGGCCGTGCTCTATTCATCTCAGTGGCTGGAATGAAGCTGCTTCGTACGTCCTTCGGTGTCCCATCTCAGCAGTATGTCACTCTGTGTTTCACCGCCCTCTTCTTCCAATTCGACTACCCGCGCTTTTCACAGACCTTCCTCCTCGACTACTACTGCATGTCCATCCTCTTCAGCAAGGTCTGTCAACATCTGAATCTCTGAGATGCCTTTAGGAGAGCCAATTTCAGTACTTGTAACATGACCATTTCCACCATTCCGAAGGCTTCTGTATATACACTACCATTCAAAAGTGCATGTTTGGTCAGATTTTTTTAATTTTCTTGAAATTTTCACAAGGGCTGCATTTATCTGATCACATTTAAAATGAAAATTAAATCATTTATTCACCTTTGTGTTGTTTTTAATGCTGTAAATTTTTTGTGTCTTTTTTGGACCACAAAAGGACGTGCACGTGCTTTTCCATACAATGGCAGTGTATGGCGATCAGCATCAAGCTTTTAAAAAAAGCCACAAAAGTATCACAGAGTGGTCCCATGCGACATGTGCCATAGATTCCAAGTGTTTGGGGGGGTATATGATAGGGTTTGGTGAGAAATAAACTGAAATTTAACGTATTATTTAATGAATATCCTGACCTTGGCATGGTCTGTGTGCACGACTGCACATTTATGAGATTATTAGCACAGCAGTTGACTCCAACTTGCACAGGAAAAGCACACAAGTTGTGAAAAATCAAGATTAATAAAAATTTCCTTTTGTGGTCCAACATATAATATATAATATAATAAGTAAGTAAAGTTCCTGTGGCTCAGTGGTAGAGCATTACGTTAGCAGTACAAAGGTCGTGGGTTCAATTCCCAGGGAACACACATACTGATAAAAAATGTGTAGCCTGAATGCACTGTAAGTCGCTTTGGATAAAAGCGTCTGCTAAATGCATTAATTTAAATGATTGTAATTTTCATTTTTGGGTGAACTACCCCTTTAAGCGGTAAAGCAGTAATATTGTGAAACTTTATAAAATACAAAATTAACTTTTTATTTTCAAATGTAATTTATTCCTGTGATGCTAAAGCTGAATTTTCAGCAGCCATTACTCCAGTCTTCAGTGTCACATGGTCCTCCATAAATCATTCTAATATGCTGATTTGGTGCTCAAGAAACATTTCTTATTATTGTTAAAAACAGTTGTGCTGCTTAATATTTTTATGGAAACATACTTTTTTCAGCATTCTTTTAAGAAAAGAATAACATTTATTATTTTAAAAGGAAATCTTTTGTAACAAATGGCTATTACTGTCACTTTTGATCAAATTAATGCGTTCTTGCTGAATAAATTTATTAAAAAATTTTTAAAAACAAACCTTACTGACCCCAGACCTTTGAACGGTATTGTGTGTATAAATAAGTAGTTGACACAATGTGTCTGTTGACATGTTTTTTTTTTAATCATCGTTATTAAAATTTGAATTAATTTATAAGGAAAGCATTTATTATATGCAAATCATGTATCTGGCCTCCATTTCTTTTAAGGTTTTCACCATTATAACACTTTTTATCTTCACTTGTTAATTCTAAATGGTTCTGGTGTAATTGTTATTCCAAAAGACCAAAATATTCCCTTTAGGAAATGTTTAGGATATGGATACATAATGTATATATGCTATTTATGTGACCTTTTTAAAGGTTTGAATGTACTGTGTAACTTATACTCTTACTGGAGTGTGGGTTTGTCAAGCAAAAGATGAAGACTGATGTTGCTGTCATCTTTCCTGTATGTGAGCAGCTGTGGGATCTGCTGTATAAGCTGCGTTTTGTGCTGACCTACATTGCACCTTGGCAGATCACATGGGGTTCTGCTTTCCACGCCTTCGCTCAGCCATTCGCCGTTCCCCGTATCCTTTTCCACCGTTACTCTCACACAGACCTGAATGCTGATCTCATAACTTTGCCAGTTCTTCTTAATTTGTGCTCAATGGGAATGCTGCCATTTTCTATAGAACATTTGTACAATTGATTTTGCTCTGGGCCACATGTTCCTCCTTAGCTCCTTTAGGCAGTTTTCACTCTTGGTTCAGTTGCTTTTTGTCAGTCTTTATAAATTTATAAATATATATTTTTCTCCACATTCAGCATGTTTAAAGGGTCTTGCCCTACATTTGTTTTTCATAAATGCCCCTTAACTCTAGTTTTGCGCTCAGACTCAGCCATGCTGTTTGTGCAAGCTGTGTTTTCAGCTCTATTTTCCACTCCTCTCAACCCTGTGCTGGGCAGCGCTGTTTTCGTTACTTCATACACCCGGCCTGTGAAGTTCTGGGAGCGAGACTACAAGTAAGCCTTCAGAAATCTCCAGCAGTTAGCTGAAAATGTTTGAAGACGTAACTTGAACCTTTAAATACCATTTTGTCCTTCAGCACCAAACGAGTGGATCACTCCAACACACGTCTGGCCACACAGCTGGACCGCAACCCTGGTACGTAATATTGTATTGGAGTAATACAGACCTTTCATCTATCTGCTGTCCTCTTAATCTATTCTCTAATTCTCCCCTTTATTTAACGCTTGGATAGGTGCTGATGATAACAACTTGAACTCTATCTTCTACGAGCATTTGACGCGCTCTTTGCAGCACTCGCTGTGTGGGGACCTTCTGCTGGGCCGCTGGGGAAACTACAGCACCGGAGACTGCTTCATCCTGGCCTCCGACTACCTCAATGCTCTCGTACACATCATTGAGATCGGCAACGGCCTCATCACTTTCCAGCTCAGAGGCTTGGAGTTCAGAGGTGAGCCAACAGGAGAGGGATTGGAACAAAATTCACCACTATTTTCCCTAAACACTGGAATACACTACATGACTTTTAAAACACTAGCCCCTGGTTTCACAGACAAGGTTTAAGCCTAGTCCCAGACTATAATGCATGTCTGGGTTGTTTTACCTGAAAGAAACTTAGAAGAAACATCTTAAAATATGTCCGTACCATTGTTTTGTCTCAAGATGCACACGAGTAATGTTATTTTTCTAAGGCACATTTATAAAAGACACTTAAATGGCCTAATTGAACTATGGCCTAATCCTGGCGTAACCTAAGCCCTGTCTGTGAAACCAGGCTTAGGTGTCATAAACTTGCCAACTTTGTAAATGGTTAGAGAGAAAAACACTAAATGACTTAGGGTCACACACTATCTGACCTTTAAGTCATTCTGAACACAACAAACTTGCACAGAAATGTGCTTTGTTGCTAGGAGGCACATGACAAATGATAATGTGTTCTGAAATCGGCTCAAAATATCAGACGTTTGATATCCTCCGAAAGTCATGCAGTGTATTTCAGCCTTAAGACGTCTAAAAGCATGATTTACACTGTATCTAAAATTTTATATTTCAGTGACCAATCTTTTTTTTTTTTCATAAATTTTTTCAGAATTTTTTTTTTTGTGACAAGAAAAAACTTTTTAAATAATAATTTGGCAGTGGAGTTGAATAATATGAATAGTTTTGGTGCATAAAATGCTTTCAGATACTTAATATATTCATGTTTAGCTGCAACTCATTTGGCTTGAACAATTTTTTTCCATTCTTCTTCTTTTTTTTTTTTCCTTGAATGACCGTGTGTTTTCAGGAACATATTGCCAGCAGAGGGAGGTGGAGGCGATCACTGAAGGGGTGGAGGAAGATGAAGGCTGTTGCTGCTGTGAGCCAGGTCATCTCCCCCACATGCTCTCCTTCAACGCGGCCTTTGGTCAGCGCTGGTTGGCTTGGGAGGTGGCCGCCACCAAATACGTCCTGGAGGGCTACAGCATTAGCGACAACAATGCAGCTTCCATGCTTCAAGTATTCGACCTGCGCAAAATTCTCATCACATATTATGTCAAGGTCAGCTCCTCTCAGACGAGCGACTCAAATAAAACCTCCACTGTCTTGAGATGCAGAGCAATGATCCAAGTTTCTTCTCCACAGAGTATCATCTACTATGTGACCCGCTCTCCCAAACTGGAGGAGTGGTTGGCCAATGAGACAGTGCAGGAAGCGTTGCGGCCTTGCCTCAGCCCTTCCTACGTGGATAGTGACCCCACCTTCAACCTGAACATAGATGAAGACTACGACCACCGTGCTTCCGGCATCACTCCGTCTTCCTTCTGTCTAGTGTACCTGGAGTGGATTAAATACTGCAACAGCCGCAGACAAACGGTATTTTAAAGATGGCCTTGTCTCACTTATTTAATGCTTTGCTGTTGACTGTTGCTGACTTGTGATTTGTGACTTGACTTGATTTGATGATTTGACTGACAAACACATTCGGGAATCAAAAATGTAACTCACTGTGTATTTTGGGCCCGAGCGCCAATGGTGCTTTATTATTATTCTTCAAAGTGAATCGCATTTTTAAGGGCCTAACAGTACATTCACACGGGGCATTGGCGTCAACGCTTGACTGAGGGCGTGTCTGAAACTTGGCGCTGACGCGATAGTCATAGTGACAACAGCCAATTACATTGGACTGTAATTGGCTAGCGCCTGAGCTAGGCTATTTGCATAAGGTGATCTGATTGGCTGATGCCTCTGTTGGCGCTTGAAAAGTTGCGAAATTTTCAACTTCTGCTGCGAGCAATGCCAGTGACGTGACGCCCGACGGTCCCACAATTCAGTTCGGCAACGCATGACGTCACCCATTCAAAGTAGAGTGTCACCCATTCAAAGTGAGAAGTGTTAACACTGACGCCCTGTGTGAATGTACCGTAAACCTGATCAAACTCAGGAAACTTTGCACTCTCAGAACTGGCAAAAATTTACATCTGATATGGGTTTCAGAATTGGCAGCCTGACAAATTTCAATCTTTCACCATTAAACAGGAAGTTGCTATAACTCAGTATTCCAATACGTGGCCTAATGGTTAGAGAGTCTTACTTGTAACCCAAAGATAGCATGTTCGAGTCTCAGTACCGGCAGGGATTGTAGGTGGGGGGAGTGAATGTACAGCGCTCTCTTCCACCGTCAATACCACGACTGAGGTGAGACCCTTGAGGAAGGCACCGAACCCCCAACTGCTCTCCGGGTGTCTCAGCAAAAATGGGCAGTTATAATCATAGCACCACCTGCTGGCAACAGGAAATTACTTGTTTTCCACCAACTTAAACATGCAATGTCCGATCTGCCCCAAACTTCACGTTTGATAAGCATTCTGGCCTGAAGACGTCTACATACCAATATTCAGTTATAGTCATAGCACCACCAACTGGCAGCAGGAAGTTTGGCACATATAAATGACTTTGGCATACTGTGTTCAATCTTACCACTTTAAATGCATATTGCCCAGCGTTCACTGTCGGGTGTCTCAGCAAAAATGGGCAGTTATAATCATAGCACCACCTGCTGGCAACAGGAAATTACTTGTTTTCCACCAACTTAAACATGCAATGTCCGATCTGCCCCAAACTTCACGTTTGATAAGCGTTCTGGCCTGAAGACGTCTACATACCAATATTCAGTTATAGTCATAGCACCACCTGTTGGCAACAGGATATGTCATGCTTTACACTAACTCATACATACTGTGTTCAATCTGCACCAAACTTCATATGTTTGATAAACGTCCTGGTCTGAAGACGTCTACATACCAATATTCAGTTATAGTCATAGCACCACCAACTGGCAGCAGGAAGTTTGGCACATATAAATGACTTTGGCATACTCCTCCTATATTTACCACTTTAAATGCATATTGCCCAGCGTTCACTGTTTTCCTAAGGCCACTGGGTGGAGGTGGCTCCAGGTGCGAGGGCCCTTTCAACGCTGCTTGCAACTTTAATTTAGTTTTGTCTTCTGTTACAGCCAGTTGAGAGTGAGAAGGATTCCCCTCTGGTCACACTGTGTTTTGGGTTGTGTATTCTGGGCCGTCGAGCTCTGGGCACTGCCTCACACAGCATGTCAGCCAGGTAAGGGTTTAAACCATTTACAGCATTTTTTATTCTTATGTTATTTAAATAAGTTACAATTATGTTACAATTCACACATGCAACAATTTTTTTTGCATGCAAGACATGCAAGAATAGTGTTTCTACTGCTGCATGCCCAAATTTTATGCGGTAAATACAGGATGTGTATGTACAGGACTCAATACTAAGGATCTTTTCTACTGGCCTGGTCGGGCCAGTGGTTCAAAATTTTACTTGCCCTGCCAACATTTTCACTAACCCTGCCACAAAAAAATAGTTGCTGTTATAATTTTTTTGACCAATGTTATCTTTTATTCAAATAAATAAGCTTATATAACACCAAAAATTTAAATACCAATTAAATTTTACAATTCTCGATTCCAATTTCAATACCACAGCAAAAACTACTAGCCTAAGAAATATAAAGCTCAAACATTATTAAAGACAAGCGAACAATCAGTAAATAAAAATAAATGAACAAATTACAAGCAATAGCACAATTAAATATATAGAACAAAGATACAAATTAAAAGATATGTTTGTAGGTGTTCAGGTACAGAAATTGATTGAATTAGCAAGGCTTAGAAACATGACGACGCAGCAGTGGCCCGATTGGGCCAGTGACAAATCCTTCAACTGTCCCGAGCGCCTTTCACGCTGGCCCCAGGCCATTGAGCAGTCCTTATTGTCGAGCCCTGATGTATTGTACAAACTTGAATATGTTGGAAACTTTGTACACATATTGTTCTCATCAACCTAAAAAGCTTTCACTCTGATATTATTAGCTCCACCCCTCAATAAGTCAGCTGTTTTGCATTTAATGTGACCTTTTTTTTTGTGTGGAAAATTAGTTTCTGATTTTTTTAGATACTCCTCCAAGGGGATTTGTGTGATTTTCTCCAAACTTGGTTGAACATTATGCCAAGACAAAGGATGCAAAATTTTGAACATATTTTTGATATTTTGAATGGTGTTGCTATCTCAAGAGACTAAAAAAAATAGGGAAAAAGGAAGTGTCTTTTATCTTCTATTTGATACTAATCAGAGAGTGCACCTAGGTGTTGTATGTTTTGTCATGGGGGGCTGATCACATGGATGTGGCTGTTGTGGCTGACAGTCATAGCGCCACTAGCTGGCAGCAGGATGTGTGACACAACAGATGTTAAAATAGTCTTTTTATATATCAGTTTAAACACGTGGTGGTGTAGTGCTTGGGTCATCGCTGTTTGTATCTATTTTTTATTTTCCATATTTCTGCACCTTTTCACTGCTAGCTGCTGCATAATCACTGCTTGTTTGCATGAAATTAAGCTTTTTTCAGCCTTTTGCATTGCTGGACATGGCTACTTTATAACACTGCAGCTCATGAATTGCCATGAATTGCATAACTCTCATTGGCTTCCAGTCACTTGCTGCAAATCACTGTGTGAATGCCACTATATAAACCGTTTTTATTGGCAATAGGTCATAAACATTCATTTAAACTTGATTTTCTTGCATTGTGGTTTTGTTTTTTTATTAGTTATTTTGTTGTAGATGTAAATTCTCTAATGCACTAATTCTCTTTCTTATACGGTCAGCTTGGAGCCTTTTCTCTACGGCCTTCATGCCCTGTTCAAGGGCGACTTTCGTATCACCTCTCCTAGAGACGAGTGGGTTTTTGCAGACATGGACTTGCTGAACAGGGTGGTGGCTCCAGGTGTACGGATGTCCCTCAAACTGCACCAGGTACAGCTTAGGCATTCATCCATCCCTACTGACATCACACTTTAATTAGGTTTCTAGGGTAACACAGTGATATTTTCATAGCTTGCACTAAAATAAACTTTTGGTGTGGTACAGTAAACTTCATGCTGTATAAAGTAAAAGTAGTCTGATGATGATGCAATTATGGAATGGGTCTCTGGATTACTAGATTCTCAATAGCCAGTTTTTTTGTCTCTTGTTTACTCCATAGGATCACTTCACGTCTCCTGATGAGTATGAGGACCCAGTGGTGCTGTACGATGCCATCACTGCTAATGAAGAGAAGATGCTCATCTCTCATGAGGGTGATCCTGTCTGGCGCAGCGCTATTCTGGCTAACATGCTTTCTCTGCTTGCTCTCCGCCATGTTATGGATGACGGCAGTGACGAGTACAAGATCATCATGCTGAACAAACGCTTCCTTAGCTTCAGAGTCATCAAGGTGCTTTGCTGCAGAAACCTGTTTACTGGCATGTACAATAGATCTTATTGTGGCATTGCCATAACTAATCTCTCTCTGTTGCTTCTTTCAGGTGAACCGGGAGTGTGTGCGCGGGCTGTGGGCCGGACAGCAGCAGGAGCTGGTCTTCCTGCGGAACCGGAACCCTGAACGCGGTAGCATCCAGAATGCCAAGCAAGCCCTGAGGAACATGATTAACTCATCCTGTGACCAGCCCATCGGATACCCCATCTATGTCTCCCCACTCACCACCTCCTTCGCGGGAGCCCATGTCCAGCTACGTTCAGTTTGGGGAGGCCCCATCAGCCCCCACAACATTTACACCTGGTTCATCAGCAGCTGGGACAGGTCGGGGATCACAAGCATGCATTATGCCGTTACAGCACATTTTAGGTGTCCGGAGTTTTTTATTTATATGCTCTCTGTTCTCTTCAGGCTTCAGAAGGGATGTGGTGCCGGATGTAACAGTGGAGGGAATATTGAGGATTCAGACTGTGGTGGCGGCTCTACCTCCATCAGTAACAACCCTGCAGCTCATCCTCCCCAGAACACAGCGTCCAGCATCCCTCAGCCTCATCCCACTACTGTACAGCCCTTGATGGGTAAGACACATGCTTCTCTTGTACTGTTAATGTATCATCATCCACCTCCGATCAATAAAGCAATGATGTGTGCAGGCTGTTAGTTCCACTCTTCCCTTCCTTTCTCAAGGGACTGACAACCCCGTTGGACCTTCCTGGCCGCTGCATCCCCAACCCCTCCCACTTGCCCTGCTCAGCCAATCAGAAGGCAGGATGGATGCAGGGCTGGTTAGCTCCTTGCACCGAACCTCTTCCATCCATGGGCTTTTAGGGCAACACCTGTCCAGCTCCCAGCTGTCTTTCAGTAGTTCAGTGGCCCTGCCTCCTGCGGACCGCTTCTGCCCCAGTAGCCTGCAGGACAACCCCAGTCACAGGGCATCTCAGAGGGGCCTAAGTCTGGACCAGGGCCGCGGGCTGCCCTATGAGGCCCTGTACAGCAAATGGTGTCTGCCAGGGAGGAAAGGATTTAACGGACCTGCTGTAATGGAAGGGGATGGCTCAGCATCACAGAGCATACGCACACAGGTTAGGACGCATGCTTACATCACAGTTTTTCCCCTAGATCTATTAATACATAAGATATCCTAAATACACCTCTTCTAAGATGGGCATGTTTTAATTTCTGAATTAAACTTATTTTTTGAGCAGCATACAGTTAAAAATGTCAGGGTGTCTGGATATCATAAAGAAAAAATCTTCAATCAATACTTTGATACTTTTTTTCAGCAGGGACACATTAAATTAATCAAAATTGACACTGAAGATATATAATGTTACAAAAAAATATATTTTAAATAAATGCTGTTCTTTGGACTTTCTATTCATCAAAGAATCCTAATCAAAGAAATGTCTTTTGGACAGCAAATCAGCATATCAGAATGATTTCTGAAGGATCTTGTGACACTGAAGACTGGAGTAATGATGCTGAAAATTCAGCTTTGCTGTCACAGAAATAACTACATTTTACAATATATTGAAATGGCAAGCCAAAAATAGTTTATTCTAGGGCTGTGCGATTAATCGAAATAGTCATAAAATCGCGGTTTGAGGATTTTTCCGCGCCCCCGACCTCCCGCTGTATGCTATCCACACTGAAGAGAATGCAGCGCGCCTAAATGGAGCACCAGAACAGACCGGGCGGACATACAAACGTAACGCCAGGTTCACACACTCCGGCTGTGGTGGGTATTTTTTCAGCACCCATGTTAACGGATCAGAGCGTTCACACTGCACGCGATTGCGGTCCAGCAGTGCGCTCCAGGAGCGGTGCGTCTGCAGCAGTCATGCTGCGATCGTTTCCGCACGGAATCTATTTCTGCTGTGCTGCACGTGCTGAATTAAAGTGACAGCGCATTATTCGTGGTAAAAATTTGCATAGATTGACATGGAAATTTAGTCATTACACCATAAATGCATATGATTAAAGTCTACTGTTTCACAGTCAACACATGGCTTTTTGACTAGATTTAAAACAAGGAAAAGTGCACTTTTAGATAAACAAGGCAATAATAGATGGCACTCGTGGTGGTAGTTAAACAAAGTTATATTTATTGAGTTTAAAGTGAATATGTCTATGAAAGATTGTATTACTGTACTGTATAAAAGAGAATCACAATGCTGAAAAAGCATTTTCAGAAATAACGTTTGGAATCAAAATAATGGATAAATGTTGTGTTTGTGGTAAACAGCCACGGATCAGGAGCGGACTGCAAACGCGTCCGGTGCGAAAGCAAAATGAGTCTGTGCTGCTTCTGCACCACATACACATACTGTATACGCACTGCAGACGGAGTACGTGTGAACTTGGCACAACAAATCTAGTTCAACATCTGAAGCAATGCCACAAAGAGCTCTATGACCAATGCACGGCAAAAAAAAATCCCTGGACACAAGATTTTTTATTTTTTTGCCATATGTCTATTCTAGAGACATTTTGTTACACCTTTACTTAGTAATTATTTTGCCTTATGTCTGTTCTAGAGACCCGTTACAGCTTTTTGATAAAGCTCTAATTGGTTTTCTTTTGGAAATATGTTTCAAATTCACACTGAATGCATTAATGACTGTAAAGCATGTCTGTGTGTTTCAAATCGAAATCGCATCGGAATTTATCAAAGAAATCGTGATAGGTTTTTTTTTGTTGTCCATATCGCACAGCCCTAGTTTTACTGTATTTTTGATCAATAAATGCAGCTTTGGTGAGCATGAGAGACTTCATAAACATTTTAAAATCTAAATAACCCCCAAAGCTTTGTCTTGTAGTGTGTATATATTAATATTAATAACCTATTTATTTATTTTCTTTCCGTTTTCCTAGCCTTCGCAGCCTCCCCTCCCTGTCCTGCCCTCTGACGTCAGCCCAACACTGGATCTAATGGGAGCAGTCATACCCTCTGAGACCACACCCCTTACATTATCAGACCCGCCCAGTGCACGGGAGGAGTCTACAGAATTGCCTTTACTTGAGCACCTCCGCTGAGCCTGCACAGCACGACCAGTACAGCTGGGATCAGATGGTCCATGGTCATCCTCGCTGACCTTATCAATCTTTTTTATAATTAAAGTATCTTCAGTCAGTTTTGCGTATATTAGGATGTTTCTTGCAAGTATCCTTAATAAACACATCACCAGATAAAGAAGCACACTAGAAGAGTGCTGTGTTAAGTAATGAACTCTGGACTGAGCTCTCCTAAGCTTCTTTAGCTACTGTTTTGGCCTCCAGGCCCATAAGCCAAAAAAAGTGGCCAGTCAGTGCAATCGTAAGGGATTTTCTTCTTTTTTTCCTTCTTGCATAAGGAGGGTCAGGTCATTAAATCAAAGTAAACCTGTGACCTGTACCACCAGCAGTAACAAAAAGGGAACACTCTTCTCTGTAGCAGTCTTAAACCTACTCAAGCTTTTGTTTTTACCCCCACACATCCAGTCCACTTGCTAAACATCCACAAACACTGCACATCAGCTGTATTGTGCAGGATTTTCTCCCTTTGATCAAAGCCCAGAGCTTGCCGCCACATAAGCCACTGTCCTTTCAAGACCAAAGGACTCAAATGTGATTCCCCCTCACTGAGCCGTCGTTTAGTAGCTCACACATTCCAGCTAAGACATTCAGTCATGTCGGCAGCCCATCAGACGTGCTTATGCTCTTAAATGACAACCATGACCATTTTTCAGCGAGCTTCAGGGAAAAGACTTGAATATACACTCACATGCACACTTCCCTCAGCACCTGGTGCGCCCTTCATAGTTTACAGCTGGCTCAGGTGAGGATGGTGGGGCCTGAGATTTGTAGGACAGTTGGGACAAAGTAGTCGTCATCAAACCGGTGGTCTGTCTGTTTTGTTTTTTTTCTTTCCTTTTCATTAGACCTTTTTTTCCCCCCCACAGGAAATCAGATTACCTTCTAAATTCCTAAACTGCTCCCTACGGAATGGGCTCTGATGGTGACGAGGGCTTCCTGGCCTCCCATCAGGCTTTTTCCTGCTGCTGCAAGTGCCTGCAGTTTGTCTCCCTCTACTGCAATACTACTGCTACTGCACCACCCCCTCTACTACTAATAGAACTAACCAAACTACTGCTTTGACTTCTAAACTCCAGCGTTTTAGTTGGAAGAATTTGGTGGGGAAAAACAATTAAGATGTACCGATTCTAAAGACAAAGATTTATTTGATTCCTGACGGAGTGGCTGTTTTTTGTTGATTATGCTGATACTAGCTGGACATGAGTGAACTGTAACCTTTGCTCCCATTCTTGAATCCACCTGATTGTGACTAGCTCATTCCCTATCTGTGTGTAATACAACTGGAAAGTTAGATGTCAATATTCTGATGTTAAATATCTGCTGTTGGGCAAACGAAGCTCAGACCGCCTGCTGTGGAAAGCAGGGCACTTACTGCCTCTACAACAACAAAACATATCAAATGCTCACAGACTTGACACCACTGACATCAGCCTGGAATAGCTGCGACGTGTCAATGTAAAGGAGCTTGAAATATCCCATGAGCTGTTTAAAGTGGTTTTGAGATTCAGAAAGCCGTTCAGCGCTTCTTCACCATACAATTTCCTAGCTTAAAATGATTGACGTGGCTGAGCTGTGCTCTGAAAAAGGCTTTGTGTCGAACGATATGGTTTGAGAGTCAGCATGCGTGGGCCGCCATGGGAAAATGGTGCCTTACCATTTGACTTGACAGACAGTCTTCAGGTGGAAGAGAAGGATTTTTGCTGGAATCTTTACACTGGTTCCACGGAGTAATGCAAAATAATGCGCTTTTCTGCCGAGAGGCCCTATTTTATTAATTTTACAAAGCTTATGCATTCAATATGGGCGATTCTTGCTCGATCAACATCACGTTTTGATGTGATTTGAGCCTCTAGCTTCATTTAGTGCCAGTAGAGGCAGTTCACACCGAATTGATCGTGCTCACGTATTCATATTCTCACTTAAACCACCAATTGTTAGTAGGTTCAGAGTCTCTCCGCCTATCACAGACCATATCACAAGTTGTTTGAACACTAAACATGAAGTCTCTCTGCAGATCATGCAGCCTAGTCTGTTTCCGATCACCACCATGCATTCTCTAGGCCATCTCACGTCTCTCATGTAGTCTGCCAAGCAAACCTGGCTCGTTTACAGCCTCTTGCGATGGACTTCAGTAGCTATCGAGCGTTTGGTTCCAAGGCCGATCGACCTCTTTCTCTCTTTCCATCAGGACCATTTCTCTCATCTTTAGGGTGACTTTTCCAAAGCAACAGGGAGTACTTCTCTTACTGGGAGAAAGCACAAGTTACTGGATAGTGTCAGTGATTTAAAAGGGATCTGATCAATCTCTGCCATATATGTACAGCATGTTTTGTATATAAATATATTTAAAATATATATATATATATAAATCTATTTTATTATTATTGTATTTCTGGTTATTTTTCAATGGAGGACACTACTTTGAGTCTTAGGGGAGTCACGCTTCGGTGTATCTGTGCTTGCGGAGGGGTCTGACTCTCTCTCGACATAGAATCATGAAGTCTGGGGAATGAATCAGTTAATACTGCTTTTGCACAACTATTGTAAAATAGTGCACCATCCTGTATTTTTTTTTTCTTTTTTAATTTTAGTTACATGGGGGATTGTTTTATTTAAAAACTGTTATTCAATATTCAAAGTTATGTACAGTTTTTTTTTTATGTGATTTTTCTTTTCCCCCTCCTATTTAAATTAAAGCTTTTTTGTGTCATTGTTTGCAATTCAGTCATTTTGTGAATCCATTGGTCTTTTCCCCCCTCAGTGTTGTCATGTCAAGATGTATTTAGAGGGTGGTAAATTCAATTCACAAACTACATGGGCATAACAAGTCAAATCGATATTGATTTGGATCAGTAGCATTACAAGTGACTAATTTTCCCAGTTATCTATTTGATTAATTTAGTCAAAAATTGTAGCAATTTAATAAATTGCCTATATAGCTTCACAATACAAGTAGTCTGGAAAGAGTCAAACATATTGTGTAAAGTATAGCAGAAGGATCTGGACTAAATCTCGGTCTCTCCAGTTTTTATGAATATTTTAAATTCGCTTTTATTTTTATAATTTCACTTTTTATTTGAATTCTAATTAAAGTTTTAGTAAATGTATGTGCTTTGTCATTTTTATTTAGTTTGTTTTTATTTATTTTTTTATTTTAGTAATTGTCGAACTTAAACTTATTTTATTTAGTTTCGTGTCAAAGACAACATTTTTTCATCTTTTATCTATATTTCATCAAGTGAATCGTAATGAATTTATTTCATTTAAATTTCATTCAAATATATTTTATTTTAGTTCAGCTTTATTTCAATTAACGAAAATGATTTTAATAGTTTTAGTTTGTTAAAAGCAACACGGTTTTTTTTCTGTAAGGAGACTTAAGAACAATTGGTCAACGTTGGAATAACAACAATTGTCTGTATGGTTTATATTTATACAGGTTACTTCGTGTCGCCAGTAGTTGGCGATAAGCGACTGCCTTTCTGAACGAGTCATTGATTCATTAATTCAACCGATTCGCTCAAGCCACTTAATCATTCGTGAACCCTCCAGCTCCAGTGCCGCGGTGTTCTGCTGTCTTCGTTTGGACAAATTTTCCTTGGAGCGAAAACAGACTGTTTTAACTCGCAACATTGTGTTTAAAATGTAAGTTACACAATTGACTAAACTTATCGTTATTGAACAGTTATATAAAAGCCAAATCACACTTGCAGTCGTGTTGTTGGTTTGATTAGTTCGACCTCGTGCGTCGTGTTTTGAATCTTAGCCGTGCGACGGCACTCTTGCTTGTGTGATATTGCTTAGTTGGCTGTGAAAGAACGGTTAGTATAGCTTAATATGATAGAGTATATGATATATGATACCCAAAACAGCGAGGCTGAGCTCTCCTATGCCTGGGTCTCCTGTCTCAGGTGGGCTGCTGACTCCAGCGTCGAAGGGCTTTGGTCATACACGATCACTTGCACAACGACAGAGATAGCAGTCCTTACAGATCTTACTCCGAGCAGCTAGCGCGTAGTTCATTTCGACGGGAAGGACAATGAAGGTTGTAGTTGTTTAACAAGGTACAGTTGACTAGGGTGACCATATTTTAGTTTTCCAAAAAGAGGGAGGTGGGGTTCGTGGGCGGGGTTTCACCTAAAAGTATTTTTTTGTGTTTGTTTGCTTGTTTTGTTTTTATAATAAATCAAATCAAAACAAGTAGATTGAATAGGGAATGTTAGTGGGTCATTTTTAAATGTCAGTAGAACAGAAAAAGAATAGATAGTGCTTGTGTTAGAAGGTCATTATTTATAATAAATAAAAAGAAAATAAGTAGAAAGAAAGAACAGAGAATGTTAGTCTTAAAGGCTCCTTTTTTCTTTTTAAATAAAACAAGTAGTTACAATAGAACTAGAATAGAGAGTGCTAGAGTTAGAGGGTCAAATTAAGATGAAAAATATATGTTTTCAGCCGTTTCTTGAAAATGATTAAGGACTCATCTGCTTGGATTGAGTTGGGCAGGTCATTCCATTCCGGGGGGAACATTACATGTAAAAGTCCATGAAAGTTTTATCATAGGTAGAATGCAAAATGTTTCAATAAGCATTGCAGTCAAATGTAATTTATGCAATATTTCAAACCTTTAAGCCACTTGGGAAAATCAACCCATGGCAACAGTTTAAAAGTAGCCCAATTCTGTGGGGGGGAAAACGCGGACTTGGCAACCCTGCATCAAAGAAGAGCTGCAGGAGGCAGATTTGACTGATCTCAGAGAATAAGAGATGACTGACAAGACCATGCTGGCGTATTTGCTGCTCAACAGATCCTGAGCTCATTGACAAATATCTGATCTTGTAAGATGTGCTCCCTTTACACAGAGTGCGTGTTATATATTAATATTAATAACCCATTTATTTATTTTCTTTCTGTTTTCCTAGCCTTCGCAGCCTCCCCTCACAAACTAATCTGTGTTAAATTTAATTTAATTAAGCACAAACTAATCTGGGCTGATATTGCTTAGTTGGCTGTGAAAGAACGGTTAGTATAGCTTAATATGATAGAGTATATGATATATGATACCCAAAACAGCGAGGCTGAGCTCTCCTATGCCTGGGTCTCCTGTCTCAGGTGGGCTGCTGACTCCAGCGTCGAAGGGCTTTGGTCATACACGATCACTTGCACAACGACAGAGATAGCAGTCCTTACAGATCTTACTCCGAGCAGCTAGCGCGTAGTTCATTTCGACGGGAAGGACAATGAAGGTTGTAGTTGTTTAACAAGGTACAGTTGACTAGGGTGACCATATTTTAGTTTTCCAAAAAGAGGGAGGTGGGGTTCGTGGGCGGGGTTTCACCTAAAAGTATTTTTTTGTGTTTGTTTGCTTGTTTTGTTTTTATAATAAATCAAATCAAAACAAGTAGATTGAATAGGGAATGTTAGTGGGTCATTTTTAAATGTCAGTAGAACAGAAAAAGAATAGATAGTGCTTGTGTTAGAAGGTCATTATTTATAATAAATAAAAAGAAAATAAGTAGAAAGAAAGAACAGAGAATGTTAGTCTTAAAGGCTCCTTTTTTCTTTTTAAATAAAACAAGTAGTTACAATAGAACTAGAATAGAGAGTGCTAGAGTTAGAGGGTCAAATTAAGATGAAAAATATATGTTTTCAGCCGTTTCTTGAAAATGATTAAGGACTCATCTGCTTGGATTGAGTTGGGCAGGTCATTCCATTCCGGGGGGAACATTACATGTAAAAGTCCATGAAAGTTTTATCATAGGTAGAATGCAAAATGTTTCAATAAGCATTGCAGTCAAATGTAATTTATGCAATATTTCAAACCTTTAAGCCACTTGGGAAAATCAACCCATGGCAACAGTTTAAAAGTAGCCCAATTCTGTGGGGGGGAAAACGCGGACTTGGCAACCCTGCATCAAAGAAGAGCTGCAGGAGGCAGATTTGACTGATCTCAGAGAATAAGAGATGACTGACAAGACCATGCTGGCGTATTTGCTGCTCAACAGATCCTGAGCTCATTGACAAATATCTGATCTTGTAAGATGTGCTCCCTTTACACAGAGTGCGTGTTATATATTAATATTAATAACCCATTTATTTATTTTCTTTCTGTTTTCCTAGCCTTCGCAGCCTCCCCTCACAAACTAATCTGTGTTAAATTTAATTTAATTAAGCACAAACTAATCTGGGCCACACTTTAGCTGTTGATATGGGCCAGATCCGCGCCAAAGGAAATTTGCTGACTGGGGGCCTTAAGAAAACAGCCGAACCCCGGACATTTTGGGCGATTAAGGGTGTACTCACACTAGGCACGGTTGCCTTGAACCGAGCGCGATTATACCCCCTCCCCACCCCCCGCTGGCCTGCACTCACACTTGTATGGGAAGCCAAACAACCCAAATGCGCGAACATTACTCTTCTTCTTCTTCATGTTTTATGGCGGGTGGCATTCAACGTTACGGTGCATTACCGCCACCTACTATGCGATCATTACTCTCCGCAGAAGTTCATGTTTTTTTCCTGCACATAACATAATGAAGAGTTATTACATTTCTTTTGCTTATTAGCCTTCATATTACTACATGTAAACAGTAGTGTTAGCTACTCTGAAGCACGTATAGCCTATATTTAGTAGTCACGTTCACAGCAGAAACTTCCATTATCCTCATAGAATTCAAATATTTAATGGTTTCGTTCATCAAGGCATATTTAAGTAAATTTTTCATTTAAGGATATTTGTTTAACTGTAGCATATGATTATGCTTGAAAAAAAGAGAGTAAAATGTACTGATACTTTTCTGTCAGGACATACATTTTCCCTTATGGAAATATGGAAATTAACAATGGTTTTACTATAGTAAAAGTGCAGTAACCATGGATTGATTGTCTTTTCTTTTTTTAACCCACAGTTTAACTACAAATGTATGGTTAAAAGGTTGGTGTAATAAAATCATGGTTAATTTTAATGTGTTTTCCGATAAACCTAAAACACAATGCAGTGCAAAATTCAAAATACATCATATTGAATTTACATACACTGTCCATAATTTTTAAAGAGTTTTTTAAATTAATTAATTTGTTTATTTAATTTGGAGTGTAGAGAAAAGCCTTACAACCCGTATCCATTATATAAAATTGCAATGTTAAAGTTCTGGGTGTGCTCCTCAAGAGGACTATGGTATTGTACATTTATTAAAGTCTTATATGTTTTATATTTGCAGTTTTTCAAAGTACAACTGTTTACATGTAGTAGAAAGGTAAGCAAAAGAAATGTAATAACTTAATACTGATCTTCATTATGTTATGTGCAGGAAAAAAACACGAACTATGATCGCATAGTAGGTGGCGGTAATGCACCGTAACGTTGGATGCCACCCGCCATAAAACATGAAGAAGAAGAAGAGTAATGTTCGCGCTGCGCTGTTGTAACTGATCAGCGCCGCGCTGTCAGTTCGGTGGCGCTAGTAAACACGTCCTCTCTGCGCTGTCGAGTCGGTCGCGCAGCTCGGTCCATTGAGCCGCGCCGATGACAGGTCAGCGCGGCGCGAACACTTTAATACCGTGCTGTTTCGTCCCACATTTGGGTTGTTTGGCTTCCCATACACTTGCACTAAATTTTCCGGGCCGGAGCACGCTTACGTCATGTATGAGATAGCAGAAAAAAACACTTTTGCTAATATTCTGTCGAATAATTAATAATAATTAATTAA